CGGGCAGCGAATGGGCATTCGGGCTCCGTCACGTTCCCCGCGGTCGCACCGGTGGCAGGGCCACGCTTGTGCAAGTCCTCCTGTGAGCAGCACAATGTGGCCGAGACCGAAAGCGTGAAGCAGAAGAGGCGGTGACAAAAGAAAAACAATTGGCAGCCAACACACGTCCTGGCTAAGTAGCTCTTGTTTCACTTTAAAATATCAGGTAACAGATGCAATCGGAATGGCTGTGCTAGGCAAGAGCCTTATAAAACGGCAAAAACAATATAAGTACGGTTTTAATTGCGCACTCCATTTAAATTGCTTTATCCTGTACAAATTCATTATTTCGAGAAAATTTGGCCCAAGCTGTTATAGTAGGAGGTAAAGTTTGCAAAAGTCTATGAAATTTTAGATTGCAGCAGCAGCAGCCTACTGGGGGAGGTTATAGCACCGTGTGGGTTAGAGTATTTCTATTTACGCGGATTCCTCAGTCAGCGTGTTGGAGGCAAGGCGTAACGCCGCATGTCTGGAAGGAAAAGCGCTGCTGCAACTAACAGGGACTTGTTTGTGTTCGTTGTGTCTCTGGGTGGAGAGACGGTGCCGCTTACCCGAAATGCAGATGGAAACCAGCCGGGCAGCCGCGGTCGAGCTGTGCGTTTCCCGTGAGCCGGGGCCAGGCTGACAGCACGACAGGGAGCATCCAGGCGCCGGCTGATTGCAAGGTTCCTCCTTCTCCTGCTTTTGCTGTTTAATGCTACCGTAAGCCACTGCAGTGTGCTTAAACCATCCGGCATTTTCCCATCTGGCTTTCCTCAAGCTGCTCAGAGTAGCATTACATGAAAATGTAATGAGAGTGAGTGCAATGGCAAACCTGTCTGTGTCCCTTTTTCCTACCCATGTCCTCTACACGATGCCCACGATTAGCTGGGACCCTAACAGCATTACACAGCGGTGCTCCCACAGCACAACTCGGGGGGGGAGAAGCGGACACGTTACCTTGTTCGCTCTCGGCAAGCCAACGGTGGTTTCTCCAGTGACGGGAAGCAATTTGTCAGCTAACCAGGCCTGGGTTACACCGTTTATCAGTGCACATGGTCCGAGTGTGAGGGCACATTGCTCGCTGGCCCAGTGACAGGCAGTGAGGTTAATCACGCCACTCAGTTTTAACCCGTCATGCTCGAAAGGGGGAATTTGCTTTGCTGGGGGTGGAGAAGCCAAAGAGTTTCTGGAAAAGACAAGCATGTTCCTTTAATCTATTTGAAAGTATTGGGTACATCAAAGTACTGGCAAGGAGAGATAGCGCTGATATAATTGGTGTGGACACCTGCAAAGGTTTCGATAAAGATCTTTGTGAAAGAGCTGTTCTTGAGCGGCAGCGAAGGTCACAGGTTATACACTCGCTAAGGAAGAGAAAGCAAAAAGCAGGCTGAGAAATGGTCCAACTTCACACAACTATCAGTACCCTCCTGCTCAGCGACGTGCCCTGGGCCCGGGGCTGTTCAGCGTGCTCAGCTGAAGAGGCAACCCTGAATTAAGAATCAAGACCAGAAGAACAGAGGATTGTGAAGGGGCCTCCAAAGCCAGGTGACTGGGTCAGGGCTGGGATGAAGGGATTATTCCCATGTGGGCACATTCCCTGCAAGGCACCGTGGGATGACAGACGTGATGCTCGTGACGCGAGTGGAAATCAGCTGTTGTCTCCCAATGAGAAAAACCCAGCTGGGCTGGCAGGCAGCTCAGCCCAGTCCGCCACTAAGTATTGCAAATAGTTGTTACAACAATACCAAAAACTCCTACCCAAGTGAACAGAACTGGGTAAAGATCAGGCAAGAAAGTAGCAGAGAACGGTATGCAGATGGTTTGACGTTAAGGCCCAGGCGGTCCTCTTTAGGAATCACTTGTTCTCACTAATTCCCAATCAATATGTCAACGAGCGAGAGAGAGGGAGGACATGTTTCGGAGATGGGAAAGTAAAGGCTTAGGATTAGAGTACAGCTAGACCTAAATTATCTTAATTTCTGGGGGAAGTGAGTAAAAAGCGACGTAATGGTAGTATTAAAAAAAAAAAACAAATGGCACAAAGACGGTACATATGAGTACTCCTGTTTACACTTTTCACACGAAAAGAGAACAAAGGGATAGTCAATAAAATCGAATGGCTGCGAACGTCCCTGGCTAAGCGAAATACTGTTGTTCTCATGCAGTGCGCATAATTAGCCAGGGAACTCAGGGTACCAAAATATCTCTAAAATCGCAGATGCAGAGAGCATTTCGAGAAAGGGACTGGAACGTACCTGACAGAGAACAACATCTACAGTTATATTTGCTATATATCAGGTACATTAGCAGTAAGCAATAATACGGGTTGTTAGGCGAGGAAAAATTCTCATGCAAACGCAAACAAATGAGACTGGGGCAAAGATCCCTATTGGCAGGTTATTCCAAAAATTGCCTTCGAAGGAATTTCTTGTTCCTTCCTCTGAAGCTTTTCTAGCAGCTATTGGCAGCCAGCAGAGCCTGCAGCAGCCAAACGCCTTTTTCTTAGCCCTCCCGCCCCCCTGCCTCGCCCCGGCTGCCGCCTGCGGCAACACAGCTCCCTGCCCAGCTCTTGGCCGAGGGACGTTTCCCAGCCTCGTCCGTATGTGACTGAGAGGAGTAGAAATAATCTTGTCCTTCTCCATCGCCATGCAGTGATGTCCCCCCCTTTTCCTCATTGAAAGGGACGGAAATTAATCTCGGAAACACGTCTGCCTGGCGCTGGGAAAGCAGGTACTGCCGGCGCACACGAGTGCGCCTTGGGGAGCGCTGCTACCTGGGTAAATATCAGTGAAGGTCAGCAGTGGGGAGGTGGGGTGAGAAATGACTTGACAGATCAGTCCTGAATTTAAATAGAGCCCACTGCGTTTGCGGAAAGCTTCCCTTTTTTTTGTCCTCGCTAATCGGAGGTAGATCAGATTTGGGGAAACACCCCCCCCCCCATCCCAAAGCCCTTGACTGTGCCCATGTATTTTAAAATAATCGCCACCTCATGCTAACCACTCCCGTGAAGGCCACGTCCTTACAGACTCATGACCCCGGCCGTAAACCACCCTTCCCCAGCACGGGGCAGCCGCCGCGCTCCCTGCTGCGCGCCCCGAGGCGAGGCGCAGGGTTGTCACACGGGGCATCCTGCTAGACCTGAGCGCAGGAGGCGGCCATAAAGAGAACGTCTCTTTTGGTGTTGGTTTTTTTTTTCTTTTTTAAGACTTTATTTGTCTAACATGCTTGACCAAAAATTACAACAACAATCAAGTTATGCCAAAATGATTAAATAACCTTTAAGCTTTCATACCTCAAGTACTTTAAATGCTATTTTTGAAGTAACGGCTGCTTTCATATCTTTTTTTTCCACATAAAAATACACAGTATTTTGAAGATACCTTAGGAAAAATTATTTTTAAGAGAATAGTTTATGGTCGACATACATAGAAATTTTGTTGAGGCTAATAAAAGGACCTCTTTCCCCCACTTTTAACATTTTAGTACCTTAAGTGCCATGAGTGAATGTAAACATTTCAGACTTCCTTAATATACAGCCAATTTCCTGCCACATTTGTTTCAAAATGCTTGAATTGCGACTCGCTAAGACACTTTTATTCTAACTGCGTGCTATCGTTCATCTTTCCAATGGCGGCAGGCATTCATAGTAAACTATGAATTTCGGCTCTTGCTGATTTAGGAACTGATCTTGCCATTTCTACACCAGTAGTTCTTGCGGCGTCGCCCCATCTGCATTCACGGCAGGCTCTTCACGCGCGTGTGAGCTATTCACCTAAAAACCCGTTGCAAAACGAGGCCTACTGTTTTTGCTTTGTGTTTCAGGAACAAGCAGCGAATTTGTTTAGCTCCCAAGTCACCAACCAGCTGACGAGACAGGACAGATTTGGGGCCTGTCATGTTTTTTGATATTGATGGGGCCACAGCGTGAGTTAAAAGTTACGGGGTCAAATTTCACTGCTTCCAGCACCAGCTGGAAGAAGAGCTGTTGCACATGGGCGGCACGGGAAATGTAATGTTTCTGCCCACCTTGCTCAGATGTGAGGTTGATAGTCTGGTTTTGAGAAACAGGTGTTTCAAATTGTATGTGCATATAATGTACATGCAGCTGCTACATGAAGCTCACATTTATATCCATATATCAGGCAAAAAGTAACATACACAATTATCCAGTCTGTGTGTGCAAATATGGGCTAGGCACACACCTGCAAACAACCCTGTGCTGACAGCGCAATGATTTGCCTAATGTGTGGGAAGGAGATTAATATATAGATGCAGCCAGTCCCAAATTCAGAACGTCCGTGGTCAGGATACAGCAGTTAAATAATCTCCATTAAGGCAAAAAGGCTCCTTTTGATTTCTTTGAGCTTGGAGAAGCTTGAAAGCTCAAGGCAGAAACCCATTTCCTGTAGGGCACGTTTGAAGCGCGTTATATTGTGGGGGTTTTTAGTTAGGTCTAGAGCTACCGCCTTGGGCTGGACTGAAATCCCAGCACTTTCAATACCTCTGTTAACCTGTCAAGGAGCCACATGAACAAAACCGGTGTCACAGTCCCAGCCAGCTCCTGCAACATCTCCGGCTTTGCCCGGCTGCACCACATGCAACGTGCCGGGTGCAGTGCAGCTCGGCCAGTCAGTTAGTCCTGGGCCTCTCTTGGCAGTGTCCGTTGGCGAGCAAAGAGCAATGGCAGGTTTGGGAGGTGAGTCCCGTTCTGTGTCCATCGGCGTGTCCTCGTCACTCATTGCACTTAATGCTGCTACCAGCTCTGCAAAGACACGTGCCCAAACGCCACCTTGGGATGACCTGCCCTCCTCCCTCCCCCCCCGAGGTCCATAAAGTTTCCCCAAGGATGAAATTTTCACAATGACTTTTGATCACCTCCGACTTGGGCCAGATTCAAATCAGTAATCTCATCGCTGGCTGCATGTCCCACTAACAGGTTTTAAACAAAAAGTCCCTCTGGGTTTTACTTAACATACCACTACTGAAAATCACTGGGCATTTTCTGTTGTTTCTTTTTTTCGTTTTTTACATACAATCACATATCGCCTTACCATATGAAAACACAATTATGCTTTTTTTTTTTCTTTTTTTTTTTTTTTAAGGGAAATGTCATCCTTTTTCACAGGCGAGGCCAGGTTACAAATTCCTGAGTTTATCCTGCACTTAACAGAGTCTCCCTTCTTGAATGTTGAGCTGTTTACAGCATGCCGGCAATATGTACCATTTCCCTTACCATCTGTAATGCCAGATGTAGTAAAACTTCATTTCAGTAGAGTGAATTAGGACCTCTATTGCATTGGTTTTGAAGAGATGCAAAGACTTAGACCTGGAGGACCTGGAATAATAGCTTTCCTCCTGTGACTGGTCATTTGTGTTCCATCTTTTACATTTGCCATGTTAATTAAGGGAAAACATCTTCACCACCACTTTTCTTTTACCAGGAGCTCACTGGGAAACATCTGAAATGAGGAAATCCTAGTCTAAACACTTATGTTTAAACTGCAAACTTTCTTAAAGAAACACTCCTTTGAAAGACATCGTTCTTTTAATAAGTCCAATATAATGTATGGTATATACAAAAGTCCCTACTTGATATATATATATGTGTATATATATATGTGGAATGCATTCACTTTTCTGTGTTCACAAATATTTTAATGGTGAAATGTTAAAGTCTTAATCTGCTTCTGGCAGCTAATGGCACCAAAATGTCTTTGTTCCTCATCTGTTTTTGTCACTCAAATTTATCTCTGAAGAACTAACAGGGAAAAAAGAAGAAAGTTTTGCTTTTTTGTTGAATAGCTCCCTACTGGGATCCTCAGCCAGCAATATAAAGTTGCTAATGGGTGGAGCATGACATTAAACCCTTATAATAATCATGTGTTCCTTGGCGTAGGTAAATCAATAACTATAGGTGGGTTAAGAGGCTGGTAATTCACAGTGCACACAGATGCATTCACGTAGGTAGTAGTTCCGTCAGCCATTACGCCATAGCCTACGAAGAAGAAAAGCTCTGGTTACTTTATTATTCACTTTTCTCACACAGCAATGATGAGCGGGACTCAGGAGTGCCACATTCATTACTCGGAAGGGTTTAAAAAATTCTGCCCATGCACACAATGATGTTTTCCTGGACTAACAACATCTTTGTCCCAGAGCAGAACTTCTTGCAGCCTTTTAAATTCTGCAAGAAAAACAAAATTGACTCTCAACAGTTAGTAGCTATAATCCCTAGCAGTCTGCTCCCCCAAAGCTCCCTAGAAATATGGATATTTTTCTTTGCAAAGCTGTTTTTTCTTAACTTTCTCAGTTGTGGAGGGGATGGGAAGATGGAGCTTAGACAATTTCAGCGCTGAACAAAACCTTACTTCCAGTCATTTATGTTTGCAGTCAGTAATACACCAAACTTTGGGGAAACATCATTTTTCACCATTGATTTTCACCATCTGTCCCATGTTGCACTTTTTTAAAGCAATCCATGAAGAAAAAGGATTGCACGACCAAGGAGTGTGTGTGCATGTTTACTGGGTGGGATTTGTCTGTGTGGGAACCTCTTCTTCCCACACACTTTTGAGCCTGTTGACCAATTTCAACCCAATTTGATGGACACAAAAATGCCTGCCCAGGTAGGGAAGAAGGACTTTCTTAACGCATTCACTGAAGGACAAGATGAATTCACACCCTCAGACATCATAACATTTCCACAGGAGAAAACACCTTCTAAATGTCTCAGCTATGGGGAAGAAGCTTTAAGCGTATTTCATGTCTGCCGAGACACCCAAGTCAAAGAATTCCAGAGAGAAATCGGAAGGAAATCAAACGCTGTCAGTTCTAACGCTTGTAGAGATACAGCACAACGCTGTTCCACAAAGTGAAGAAAAATCCCTTCAGAAAAATCCCTCCCCAGCAGCATGGAGAAGTGGACACACTCCATTGCCAAAAGACTTTACAGGAAAGACTAGGAAAAAAACATCAGCAGATAACACTAAAACTAAAGCCTTGATATTAGAAACTTGCATGGAAATAAATGCAAATACAATCTGTATGAAGAAATGCATTCACACTCATAAATATATGACTTTAGGGAAACTACCTAGTGGAAAGCTTTTGTAAGAAGGTTTTATCCCACCATTAATGAAGTTAATGGTGAGACGTATTCATTGCTACGAACATGCACTGAGTTATAAGGCTATTCACATCCTAGGTACCTAGGATCCTGTAGGTTTTCTGAGTGCAATTTCATGGAGAAAATTTCTTACAGAAGCATTGTTAGTTGCAGATTTTACAAAGAATCAGTAGCCAAATTCCTTTCTTTTTCCTTCCTTAAAATATCCTGAATAATGCAAGGCCTCCTGGACTCCCCACGGAAAAAACACACAATAATTAGGAACTAGGGAGGGAAGAAAACTCTGTCAGGTTCCTGTCACAGACATTTCTTCTTTAAATCACTTGCTGCTTGCCACAGAACAATTGTTCTGTGCAAAAAGCAAACCGCACCAAGGACAGCTAGCATTGCTGCTGGGATTTTCACTTGCCTCGGCTACGCATTTGTGGAGAACACAATCGGCTTGCTAATACACTCTCTTAGCTGGAAGATTCATAAGGCTACAGTTTTCACTCTTCTCCCAGTGCCAGAAGAGCATTTCCTTTGCCATGACCTCAGCCAAGTGCTGGCTGAAACAGGCAACGCAGAATCGTAGCTGGAGCCGTATCTTGCTGCTTGTCACCTCCGTGGGTGGACCAGCAGCACGTCCAGGTGCAGAGGTGCTTTTTTGGCGGGGACAGCAGTGCAGAGGGGGAATAGGGAGGAAACAGCCCTTCTAAGCAGCTCTTCCTCCTGGATGTTTAGCAAACGACTGCTGCAGATGTAGCTCTGCTCAGTCAGGGGAGGAACTCATCTGTTCATATCAGAGCAGCTTCGTTTGCACAGGCGGTCTGCAATGGGAATTCTCCTCTGCAGAGATTTAGCATCCCACTGCAAAACAAGCTATGCGCTTCCCCATTTGTTTTCTCTAAATTATGATAGTTTACAAGAAGAGTACCTTGTTTCTGTGCTCTCATACCTACTGTGCCAACCGCGTTAATTCAGACAATTTACCATTCTGTGGAGGCGCCGTTCTCATCTCTTGGGAGCCAAAGCTGGGCTCAGTCTTAGCAGATGGGGTTTTGTTTACCTGCCTGAAGCTTCATGGCTTACTGTTTGCTTAGATCCCCTGAAACTCACTTGGCCTATGATTTCTGAAAGGACAACGAGTTTGAACTGTATTCACCAGCTCTCGTGTACGGATCCTCAAAGATTGGTGTTAACGGCAAGGGGACAGAAAAAAATACTGTCTATGCATTGTTTGTTTTCTCTGTGCTTTTAACAGCACTTTGGACATTACCCAGGCATTAACTGGTCACAGCAGACAAGACACATGAGGAGAATGGACTTAATCCTTTCTGTATAAAATAATGATTTGAATGTCTTCCTCCATCGCTTTTACAGTGGCACACCTCTAACCAGTGTCGCTCCTAACCTAGCAGGGTAAAAGCGCCAAGCAGCAAGTCTGAGTGGGATTTCTGGGGAAGGGTAGGGTAATGGTTCTGCTCTAAAACAGAAGTATCTGAGCACCAACTACTCCAGTTTTTCCATTTGTTCATTTCTACACTGGTGAGAACCACAGATATCCTAAATCGAAGGCTGGAGCAGTCCCAGAAGCAGCAAACTGGCAGCTGTGGAGCACCTTTTCCTGCCAATAAGCTAACATTGCCAAGAACTAAGCAGCTGATAATACATGCTTATATGCCAATGGGTACATTTCCGCACAGCCCAGCGGTTTCTTTTGGTACAGACGCTGCTTGAAGACTTGCTGCCATTACATGTGCACCCCTAACAGCACAGACTGCTTCTCCGAGCATCTCCCTTTCCCTTCGACTGGAGATGAACTCCTACTGTCATTGACTTCAGTGGAGCACATTTGTCACCATTTACTGACTTATGTGCTGGGAATTTATTTTTCCAGTTACAAAGCAAACAGGCAAGAGAACATCCTCGTTTTATCTGGGTGCTAAACGTTCCCCTTGCAAAGCAAATCAATACATGAATACATATCTTGCACTTCTACCTAAGTCAGTGGTGACATGCCTCTTGATTTTATTCAGACAGGCACTGAGGGAGGGAGACAACCTTAATTATCCAATCTTGACGCTCACGCCTTCGAAGCATTCCCCCCAAAGCACTTTTACCCATTTTACAAATGCAGAAACTGAGACACGGGGAGCTTTCCTGAGTTATTTCAAGTCACACAGAGATTTAGCAGAGGAAAACAGAATCCATCAGTCCTAATATTTAAACACTTTCTGTAACTACTGGACTTGTGCCCTTATTTTAAAATTCATAGTAATTCTCACCGTGAAGGAGCCATCACTCTATTTTATAGATATGGAAAATGAAAGGGAAGCTGAGGTACAAACATGGAAATGTGGGTATCAGCAAATTTCATCTATATATATACAGGAAGCCAAGTAAGTGATCTGAATTTCTGAGGTGCTTCATTTCAGGTATTCAAGCTTGAAAATGCTGGATCGAGCACATAATCTCTGTGTTCAAGGTTTTAAATACGGATATAGAGAAACATTTTCTAACCTTCATGGATATGTCCAAAAACATGAAGCCTTGGCTGTATTCGTCTCTGGACTGTGTTCAGCAGCTCAACACATCCTACCCGTTGCATTTTCTTAGGAACCCAGTCTAGAAAACCTTTAGAAAAGAAAGGAAAACTTTAAAAGAAGCCAGGTTATCTGCAAAGCTTTATTCAAAAACATTTGAGGTTTAATGTCTCCCAGCTTCTCATAAGCAGTCACAAAAGAATTGATGGGGGGAAAAAAACAGTGTTTTCGTTGGTCAGTAGAAGAGGAAGGAAAGAAAAATATTGAAGAAAGTCACAAAAGCTGATCCAAAAGAAAAGGACTATGATCATTCTTGCCAACTGTTTTGCAAGGGAAAAAAAATCCCTGCAATTAAAGCATCTTTGCGCTGCTGCTGGCAACAAAACTCAATTCTTCATCCATCCCTCTTTCTTTAAGAGAGCAAAGAGCAGTATGTCCAAAGTGAGTGTCTCAAGTCAGGGTGTTTAAATAGAGCTTGAGGCCCTAGTTCTAAAAATGAAGCACGTCTTTGCCTTTAACCTTTGGTGCTGCTAATATTCAAACTATATTGTTATCACATTGAATCTTAATGTCAGTGGAACTCGGGTGAGGAACCCATAGGGTGCCTAAAAACAATATCCTCAAGTAAAACTGGTTTAAAGGCTCCATGACGCAGCAAACCACACTAGCCTAAATGTAGGGACTTTAGCTAGTGAGAGAAATTCAGTCCTTCTGCAGCAGATAGATAACGTTTGTAAGTGCTATATTTACTTGCACGAAGTTCTCATAAAAAATAAATTTTTCATGAAGACAGACAAAAATCTTGACCAACTTGCTTATATGTCTAAAATCATGACTTCAGAGGGATGCTTACTGTCAACTAAAGCCTTGTGTTTCCTGGTGCTTTCTTCAACGAGTAGTATTAGAAGGATGTTGTTGTATTAGAGGGTTTGGAATAACTAATCTGTTTTTTTGTGTTTTTTTTCCCTTTCTGTTGTTCTGCCATTTTTATCAGGCTCCAATCTGGAACACACAAGACGCAATTATTCTGTTTTTCCCTTCCTTATCTATCCTCGCCCTGCCATTGCCTGCCTGTCCTAGCTTCCTATCTCTGACTTGGATTGCTGTAATCGTGTGAATACCTTGTGCCTTTGAGAAAATGGTGGTCAGCCAGTGAGGAACACACTCTGGGCCTAGTTTTCCTATGTGTATTTTTGAGGCTGTACAGCTAAGTACAGCTAAGCAGCCAACTCACTTAAGAGACCAGAACTATGATGTGCAAGGTCTTGGAAAACCTGAGTTTCACAGTAGGTTCATACATTGAGAGAGACCTCTTTACATGCCAGTGTTTGAAAACTGGCTCAGTACACTGTGAGGTTTTATGAAAATCGTAAAAATTTGCCCAAGTATCGGAGCTACTCAGAGACCTAGGTCCAACTTTCAAAAACGACTTAGGAATGCAGTGTCCTAAGTGTCAAACAGAGGAAATTCTGACAATGGACTTAGACTCCCAATTTATTTGGACACTTCTGAAGATGCCGGCTTGGCTCCTGAGGGGTTTGTGTCCAAAGAGAAAATGCAGCTGAGTTCCAGACAGAGGAGAGCAATGTTCAACTCAGGAAATTCATTCTACTGGTCACTTTTGTCATCCAAAGCAGTTCAAAATTCACTAGATGAAATATTAGCTTTAAGATGTCAAAGTGAGCCCAGCAACTCTTCCAGAATCCACTTCCTGCTGTTTTTCAGAGAAAATGCATCATAGCAAACTCCAGGTTTTGCTACTTCGACGATGTGAAACAGTTAATTGTCAGAACGTCTGTGGTGAACATAAAGGCAAAAGTATTTCCACTTCAAAAACTCTGCAAACAAAAATCCATAAAATTAACTTCTCCATTAAATTAAGCATTATTTATGTTGAACATGTTTTTGTTTACATGCATTATCACCCTTCTGAAGCTTTCCCATATGTTTGCAGCTTATTATATACACCTGACTACACAAACTAAGAATAATTGATTACACCTAGCTAACAATTAGAGTTCATCTTAGGGTTTTTTTAATGTTTGGTTACTTGAAACAGGTTTCTGCAGCTGTCAGGAAAGTATAAATCTTTCTCAGAGACAATCAAGCAGACAGCTACAAATGAAGACTTAAAGGTGAAATTAAATAAAAAAATAAAAAAAAATAAGAAAAGGAAAGTGGACTTTTTGAAGAGAAATAAAAGAATCCTAAAGGTAGATCTTTAGAAGTCAGGGGGAGGACTTAAAAAGTTATCCTATACATAAAAGAAACAAAAAAAATGCTGATATAGAAATGAGCATTAGCAGGGATTCTGTAATTGTGAATACTACAACTCATGAGCTATGTAACATGGCGTATCTTCATTAATAAACAGGTTACCAATAAAATGGTCACTAATAGCTGTTTAATCTTTGCTTTCTCATCTTGCGTGAACCTCCTGTAGCCCTGCCCTGATTCCATCCCAAAGCACTACTCTAAAACAGAAAAAAAAAAGAAACAATTGTGGGTCAGATTTTTTACACACCTAAATGACTCAGAAGCACAAAATCTATTAACTCTTAATGGTGCCTCTGCTTCTAAATCATGCAGTCAGTTTTAAATCTATCTAATAATGTAGTATTAATCGGATTAGGAGGATGCGTGCTCTTTTGAAGTGAGGGAATGAGAAAAAAGCACAGAAAACAGATGATGGACAGAATTTAGGCAGCCGTGCTGGAGAAAAAGAGGAATGAAGCTTGATTGCTTTTTATGATCATTAAGAACAGCTCTAGTGATGCTGTCCAAGATCAGAACAACAGTAATTAGCTTTCTGGTTAAAATAATTGGCTGGGAGGGTCAAGGAGGCTCCCATCTCCCAAAACACCTGTGGACAGTGCTACACAATAAGGAGGTCCTGTAAGTGGGGAAGAGTGCTAATTTCTTGTGAAGCATCATGTATTTGTTGCTGCGGGTGCCAGGGACACCAACAGCTGGTGCCCCCAGGCAGAGTGTTCTGTGCCTCAGCTATCTATTAAAGCATCAATAAGAAAAAGACAAAGAAGCAGGAACTTCTCAAAAAGAAAATCCTTGGAGGACGGTTCAAGCTTAAGGGAAAAAAAGAATAAACAGTGAGGAGGTGGGGGAGCTGGGAGGGAATTCATGTTATCCAGGTATAGTCAGTGGAGCTAGGAGGCTCCACCTCAGAGTTATTACAATTATTAAATTGCTACTCAATTATTAAATTTACTATTAAGTTTATTATTACAGCATGCCAGTTGGGCTCCAGCTCTGCCCTGCTCTCTGGAGGCTCTCCTCCCCGCTGCGGATCCTACAGGCTGCCTGGAGAGTCCTGCAGGCTCCATTAGCAAGGTGCACGATGCTGGCTGGTGCCAGTCCCTCTCGCCACCTTCAGACGCTGGATTACAAACTCTAGGTATAGGGATATTCTGTGAATGAGCTGAAGTTTGGATTTCCTTTACAGCTAATTGGCTGAAGCAGCTGCTTTTGAAAATGGGTTCAAAAGTACTGATATTTCTGTTAATGTTTTAAAAACATACATCACAAACAAATCTGTATCAAAGATCTAGCGTTGCCACTCAGGCCTTGTATTGTATAGGATTAGCCCCAGCACTAATTATTCAGAGTGGACATCTCAAGGCCTAAACAATTTATTTCTGCCATCTGCTTTTATGATACAAGTCCACATTAAAATCAGTCTACGGCATGGAAATAGGATAGGTGGAGTATCAAAACACTTGCCCTCATTGTGAGAAATCATGCTCACAAAGAAGCCCTTTCCCCCAGGATTAGTGAGCAGCGGAATGCAAACTGGTCTTTCTAAAGAAAAAAAAAATCACAAACCCTTTAGATACTTTCTCCTCCAAATTTTGAAAAAGGAGAAGAAAGAGTGGAAGACAAGAGGATTTTAGCTTCAGGAAATTGGGGACTGAAGGGAATCTAAAGGTTTAAAGAAAGCAACTAGCTTTCATCTTACAGAAAGCACTCCTGCACAGTTAAGTACATGCTTAACATCCCTGTCCAGTTATTAAATCAGTAAGAGTTAAATGTATTTGCATTAAATTTAACTTGTTATATATTGAATATATTGAAAAATCTGTTAAAAGCCTTTATGGAATCAGGACAAACATTTCTCTGATTATTTTATTTCCATACCGCAGATCAGAGGACTAATATCTAGGAACGTAAGAAATCCATCCTGGCATGCTTTCTATCATCTGTATTATTATTTGTAAGACACAAATGCAAGACCATTTCTTGTGGATCGGTTAGTGTTGCCAGACTCCACTAAAGACAGGCGGTTCACCCACGCCATCCAAAGAGCAGGCAAGCAATGGCAGCATTTGGGTTTGTGAGCCAGAAAATACATCAAGTCAGCACGAGGAGGAAAAAGACAAACTCAGGCTATTTGCTGGCCAGGGAACACTACTGCAAGTGAGGGAGAAAGCCAGTGGTTAAAAAAAGTAAGTAGAAACCTTGGGCCTGATCCCGCATTTCTCTCTAAGCAAGCTTTAGGTCTACTGATTTCACCAGTGGCAGAGGCATGGGTAAACTGGACCCTGCTTATTTCGAAAGCTCATTAAGACTTAATTTATTAAGGCTTTGCTTCTTAAGACTTGACTTAATTCCCTACCACTGAGCAGAGGGAAGGCTGACACATAAACCTGAGCTGCAGTCCTGGTGCCGCACAACTCGGTAGGGATGTTACCTGCGCCTTCTGCGGAGCCCCGGTTCCCTTCTGTCTACGGAGAGCCATCAGTTACTGTACAATCGTTGGACATACACAGCTAACAGCACTACTATTTTCTTACCGAGAGGTGGTCCATGTGTTATAAGAATATCTATTCCATCTGGAATAAGGTTCCATTTCTCTAATAGCGCTTGGCCTCGTGGAAGATTAAAGCCCCAGCCATAAAACCAAGGTTGCCTGCCAAGAGAGGAGGAGAATGACTTCAGTGCTACTCCCATGTATTGGTTACCTAATTAAAATACAGAGATTGGCTCTTTACTAGCATGGAATTGAGAGACAGAAATGGCATTCATTTTCTTATTTCTATGCACAATAAAACTCTTTTTGCGTACCGCCAGTATTTATTATGTAACGTGCGGAAAATCAACATAGTTCTTACCAGTTTAAGTAGGCAGCGTACAGTATAATATTGCTAGTATTCCTCCAACTAGATGAGAAGTAACTATTACAAGACCTGGATAGCAAGATCTCCATGCATGGCTCAGTGTGCTGGACTCCCATGGTATCTAGAAGACCACCTGTCTCAGACCGGTGCGTGTACGGGATGCATCTTTCACATTAGCTCATCTCACGTTTGCCCTCGAGCTGACGACCCGCTGCGCAAGGATAGGCCCTGGCACAACAGATCCTGCTCCAAAGGTGGAGACATCATCTGTGCTGTTTTGTTTTCCTACTTGGAAGCACCGTTATCAGAACAGGAATACTGCCTCTTTTCTTATATAAAATTTTCCTCTGTCCTCTAATGTGTTGACTTGCTTTTAAATAAGACTTTACATATTCAAGACTTCTTATCAGATGGGCGTTTACATTTTCGTTAAACGCGTTTATGGAGCAGCTCATCGTGAAGCAGTGGGACTGTAACACTGCCAGTCAGAATATAATTTATCTGTTTATTGCCATCCCATTGATTAAAAAACTGTATTTCACAGCAATTACATCACAGTGGTAAATTATGTCTTGCTGACTATGCTCTAATGCTAGATCATAAAATTGTGGGGTTAGTTTTGGGTTGGATTTTTTTTTTTAAACTTTTTTGACTGACGTGTTCGAGCCATATCCATATTTGGAGAACAACAAATAGGCTGCTGTGATTTAATAAGGTTTATGATAATTGCAGCCTTCGCGCTTATAAATACATACACATCAACCGAAGTTTCCTTTGAGATGTTACTTTGTTGAAGAAAGCTTTACACTCCCTCTCTGCATCAAAAGGCAGAAAGAAAGATTTCTTTTAAAGACATTCTCTGAACTCCTCTTTACATCACGTACGGCAAAGACAAAAGAAAATGCCCATAAAGCTATTATTCATCCTCTTCCATTACTGACGCTTGACTAACATTTCAAAAATTAGCATGTCTGCAATCTCCGTGATGATATATTTCCCACTTCTCCTTCCAGGATGCCGCAGAGCACACGTCGATTGAAAACAGCTTAAAAAATACAGAGCTTGCTAAAATATAAAGGGACGCGGCTTACCCCGAGGGAAGAAAAGAAAATCCCAGCTAAAAGGCAAGGCTGAAGGGGGGTTCCCAGAACGTTTCCTCTCTCGTACAGACAACAAGAGCCTTAACTTTTCTCTATACGTGACGGAGCGGCTTCCTGTGTCCGAGGGGCAGCACACGCCTCCTCGCTCTCCGCCACGCCATGCCCTGGGCCACCAGGTGTCCCAGCAAACGGATGTGACACTTTGTCCATCTGCCTTTGGGAATATATCTCAGCCTCCAGAAGCTGGGAGAACTGATGTGAATAAGAGCCGCTAAAAGCAGCAGCAGCGGCAGCAGCAGCGGCAG